CATCTGCCCACAGTCCCTGGGTGTTACAAGGTGGCTTGGCCCAGGGACCACTTAGTGTAAGTGTTGGGCCCATAGAGCCCATTTGATGGGTTTCAGGGGGTACACTGTCTTCAGCAGTGCATTCGGCCAGGCCTTGTAACAAAGGCTGGGCTGAACCCATGTGGCTGAACAATAACAGCCAACTTGAAAAATTGAACCTAAACAATAACAGCCTCAGTGGGCCTAAACAATACCTGCTTCAATCTCAAATGCTTCCCAATTAAATCTCAAATGCTTCCCAATTAAATTTCTGGCCCTCTCTAGAAACTCATTTAGTGGAACGGTGCCCACATCGTTGGGGAATCTGCAACAACTCCAAGTTCTCACCTTAGCGCATAACCAACTAACTAGTCAACCAGATACTCCAGAACTGGTGTTTCTCAGTTCACTAACAAATTGTAGGTTCTTGCAAGTTTTGAACGTAGATGCTAATCGGTTGAATGGCATCCTTCCCGAATCTATCGGGAATTTATCAGCTTCCCTCATAGCACTTGCAATGGAAGGGTGCCAAATTAGGGGAAGTACTCCCAAAGGGATTGGTAACTTGAGCAGTTTAATCGGTTTGGGTTTAGATTACAATGACATCAATGGGACCATTCCATCAACGATACAAGGGTTAAAGAAGCTTCAAGGTTTATTCCTCGAACGAAATAACCTACATGGATCCATACCAAATGCGATATGTTCCTTGACACGATTGGTAAAATTGAAACTTTTTGGAAATAAACTCTCTGGACAAATACCCAACTGCATAGGGAATTCCAATCTGCCCCATTTATTCTGTTGCAAAGGGAAAGACAAAATTTCGTCATGAGCTTAAATTTGTCCTTCCCATAATTGCTTCCTCTGCAATCATTTTTGCTCTCTTGTTTCTGCTACTAAAACGTAGAATGGAAAAGAAGAATATTCCCGCAAGTGTCGATTCATTGCATGCGATAGAGCATAGAATGATTTCCTACTATGAGCTACTGCAAGCAACAAACAACTTCCATCATGAAAACTTACTTGGAACAGGAAGTTTCAGTTCAGTATACAAAGCTACATTGTCTGATGGAATCATTGTTGCTGTGAAAGTTTTGGATCTGCAACTTGAAGGGGCAATTAAGAGTTTTGATGCAGAATGTCAGGTGTTGCGTAATGTTAGACATAGAAATCTAGTCAAAGTAATCAGCAGTTGTTCCAATCTTGATTTTAGAGCTTTAGTCATGGAATATATGCCACAGGGGAGCCTTGAAAAATGGCTTTACAGCCAGAACTATTTCTTGAATCTCCTCCAAAGAATAAATATCATGATTGATGTTGCCTTAGCGCTGGAGTATCTACATCACAACCAATCGGGGCCTGTGGTGCACTGTGATGTGAAGCCTAATAACGTCCTCCTTGATGAAGACATGGTAGCTCATGTGGGTGACTTTGGCATTGCAAAGATATTAAGTGCAAATGATAAACCTGTAGCACAAACCAAGGCCTTGGGAAGCATAGGGTACATTGCACCAGGTAAGGGTTCTACTTCCATATATATAATATATATCATTAATACATTTTTATTAGTATAAATGCATAGCCTATATATACATACATGTTTGGTTCCCTGTAAATCATCATCATCATTGCTTATTAAATTTTTCATTTGCCTAACAATCAAAGGTCGAGGACTTCAATCTTTAATCCAAGGGTCCAGTTACCGGGTCGAGCGGTTGGCTCGTTTTGATAAAAAAAAAATTAAAAAAGAATGAAAAGCAATCAAAACCGTTCGAATGGTTCAAATGGTTCAAACGATTAACTGCCTGGGTCAACAGTTTGTTGACCAAAATCAGTAATTTTTGGAGAAAATCCTGTTTTGGGGAAAACCAGAACCAGTCACCTGATCGGTTCCCAGTTTTTCTGGTCCGGTCCGGTTATGAAAACCATGATCCTAGGTCTATGCTATAACAAGCCAAAGAACTCGTCAATTGAGCCCCAATCAGTTTTATCACTTTATCTAGTACTAGTGAATGACCCCTTACTAAGTATGGGGAATCAGTAATGTTAAATTTACATTATGAAATCAATGTTGTTAAATTTATGGGTTTGACTATGGCATGGAAAAGATACAATATTTGAAAAACTTTTAACCAGTAAACTGGAATCATAAACGTAGTAGCCAATCAGGTGTTTTTTATCAAAATTCATGGGCGGATATTGATTGGTTAAAACTCTTTCCATACCATATCTTTTTCGCATCATAGATTTTCCCTAAATTTATATTTATTAATATTTTAAATAATTATTAAAATTTCAAGAAATATTTATTTCAAAAAATAGTTTTTCAATAATTATTAGAATATGGATAGCTTTCTTTTGCTATGATACAAATAAGGTTAATGATTAACTAAGATTGATAGAATGTAGACATAAGTGGTTGTGGATAACCACTTTTGCATTTTTTGCATTTTTTCATGAACGAATTTAAAATGATAATAGTGGGTTGTGGGTCAGAAAATGCCATGTGTCTAACTATCTAGAAAAATGAAAAGGTCATGTGTCTGAATGGTGGGGGGTTGTAACCTGGTAGTGGGTTGTAGGCTTTAACATGAATTTTTTAGAAATTGCCACGTGTCTAGTTTTCTAGAAAATGAAAAGGCCACTTGTCTGAATGGTGGTGGTGGATTATGGTCTTTAACAACAACTTCTCAAAAATTGTCATCCCTCTAAATTTGAAAACGCCATGTATGTGAATGGTGAGGGTTATATCCTGAAAGCCTTCATTTAATATATATATATTAGATGTTTGTGGGAAGAAGAACAATAGGAAGAAGGATGTGATCCCACTTTATATATGAAAGATAATGATGGAATAAGAAAGGTTCGTTGGAGAGTACATAGGTACCCATGATCCAACTAGATCTGTTGCTCGCTATGCCATGTATAATAGGCTATATAACCATTCTCAGATAAATATGCCAGTATTCTATACTCATGGGGCACAACATAGCCAGCAATAGATCTTAGAGTGTAGTTAGAGTTGGTCACTTAACATCCCTCTGAAATTAAGGCATGATATTATGGTGGCCACCAGATCTAAGGCTCATTTTGGAAGCAGTACAAATACAAATATGTAGAGTGTAAAACCTTACATTTTGTATTATTTTTTATGCATTTGTACTGTACATATTTGTATTTGTACTCCTTCAAACTGAGCCTAAAATGCATATGCCTAAAGCGCAATTGGTTTAGTTTATTATTTTGGGTGCATCCTACAACATGAAAATTTTTGTTTTCATTTGTTTTTGAAATTGACACATCAGCAAAAATCAAAAACATGTTCTTCAACTTTGTTTTTGTTTTTAAAGGGGAAAATAAATAGATTTTGTTTTAAAAATCAATATATGTTTTTGGGACACAAATTTTCTAGTATAGAAATTATATGATTTATAAAATATTATGTATAAAAACATGTTTTTGAAACCAGATTCGAAAACATGTTTTTTGGTTTCAGTATCAAAAACAAAAAACACATACACAACCAAAAACATGTTACATGTGTTTATGTTTAAGGAAACAACCTATTTTCAAATAAAATGATTTGATTTATTTTTGAAACCAGCAACAAGAAAAACAATCCACATTGTAGAATGCCCTTTAGTTAATGTCTTGACAAAAATCTAACAGGTCTTCCATTTGATGCAATAATTTGAGGATCTTGAATCTTAAGTTCTAGGCCCAAATAATGTTGATTTATTACGATAAAAAGGAAGTCACCTTGATGCCTTTCCGGCATCATATATTTTTCCTTATAAATATAAGGATTTTTTTTTATCAATAGCATAAGGTGTTCCTATCCAACAGTACATAAGCTTAGCAAGGTAAGCTTAAGCAAGTTTCCTAGGTTGCCTAAGGATTGAGCCAAGCATTTCGCTTAAGACAAAGTTTGCAAACCCGAGGCAAACTAGGAAATAGGAATTGCTTTGTCCAAATCAGATAGACAATCCACAAGCCCAAAAGCAGCTAATAACATATATATTGTACAATCTTAACATAGAGATTGAACTATACCCCAAATTATTATCTTTTTGCAACCCTTTTTATTATAACTATGTCATGTACTCCTATCTAATATGAAACTTGAATATTTCATCACATTTGCATTCATTTGTATAACAAAATTTTGCACCATTAGTCCGGTAAAAGCATATTTGTTTGTTTTATTATTCTGTTAGAAGCATTTAAAACATCTGAGAGGGGTGATATTAGTCCATTTTAAAAAGAGGAGGTCTTAGTATTTAGCAAAAGCTGTCAGGGAGGTTTAAGAATTTTACCCTATTAAAAAATCAAATTTGAGTGAAAAGATGTATTGAATCAACATCAACTTTTCTAGTTATTTCTTTCTTATTTTAAAACCGATATTAATATATATCTATGGTAAGGTCATTCGATTTTAGTCAGCTTACAAATGGCCAATGTGAAATTAATCCAACTTTGTTAGGTTGGGAAGTTATTGAACCAAAGCTGACAAGAAATACTAGAAAACCGACCAACTCGAGTCAAGTTGATTAGGTTAGTCGGTTTTATTATTTTGGTGAAAATATTAGCTGAAATTAATTATTATTATTTTTGTATTATAAAAAAATTATTAAAATCAATATACAAAATATAAATAATTATTAATTATTTAAAAAATTAAAAATATAAAACAATTGTACTCTTATGTGTTTTTTTTTTAGCTTTTGCTTAACAAATGTCATTCATTGCACAGATCCCCGTAGTAGGTATGCAATTTAGGCCATGTTTGGTTCAATTCTCATACGCTTTTTTCCTAAAAAAGAATTCTTTTCAGACTGACAAGTGTCCTATGCTGCTCATTTTCATTCTTCAAAAAAAAATTGTGCCAGTACTTTTGTAAAAGAGCTTTCATAAAAGTCCTTTCATGTACTTTATAAAAGTACTTTCATAAAAGTGCTTTCGTAAAAGTACTTTCATAAAAGTTTTTTTATAAAAGTACTTACGTAAAAGTGATTTTACAAAACTGCTTTCTTAAAAGTGCTTCCATAAAACTACTTTTGTAAGTTCTTTTACAAAAGTATTTTTGTAAAAAATGCTTTCATAAAAGTACTTACATAAAAGTGCTTTTATAAAAGTACTTTCATAAAAGTGCTTTTGTAAAAGTACTTTCACAAAAGTGCTTTTATAAAAGTACTTTTGTAAAAGTGCTTTAGTAATGTACTTTTATAAAAATGCTTTTGTATTCATAAAAGTACTTCCATAAAAATGCTTTTATAAAAGTACTTTCATAGAAGTACTTCCATAAAAGTGCTTTCATAAATGCACTTCCATAAAAGTGCTTTTATAAAAGTGCTTTCATAAAGTGCCTTCGTAAAAGTACTTCCATAAAAATGATTTCATGTAAATGTACTTTTATAAAAGTGTTTTCATGTAAAAGTACTTTTATAAAACTGCTTTCATGTAAAAGTACTTTTATAAAAGTGCTTTCATGTAAAAGTACTTTTATAAAAGTGCTTTCGTAAAGGTATTTTTGTAAAAAGCTTTTGTAAAAGTGCTTTCACAAAAGTAAACAGCTATGGCAAGTTGGCAACAGTTGTATAGGTATTGTTTCCTCAAAGAATGAAATAAACAAAATGGGGTATGATTATTTTTCATGCTGCAAGCTAGTCAAATTTTGTGCTATAGGACTAAAATAAGGCCCAGGGCAGTGAGCCAAACATGACCTTAATGGCTCCTAACTGATTAATCATTCTGCCTTTTTCACAATTGTAGGGGCTTTTAACTAAAAACTATTTAATGTAATAATTGAAAAGCCATATATATGCCATAATTTCTAAGTTTTTGTTTTTATTCTTGTTTCTTGTTATTAATGCTTTTCCTGGTTATGTATGGTGCAACTAGAATATGGGTCTGAAGGAAGAGTTTCGACAAGTTGTGATGTTTATAGCTACGGGATCTTGTTGATGGAGATGTTTACAAGAAAGAAGCCTACAAATGAAATGTTTGCTGGAGAATTATGCCTAAGAAAATGGGTACCTATGTCGCTCCCAACTGAAATAATGGAAGTCGTGGACAAAAATCTTATTGATAGAGAAGAAAGTGATTCACCTATGAAACAACAAACTTTTGTTTCCATCATAGAATTAGGACTTGATTGTTCGAGAGAATTGCCTGAAGAGAGGATTACCATGAAAGAAGTTGCCGCAAGACTTGATAAGATAAAGAAGAAGCTTTTGTTGACATAAAACATTGATAAATTAATATTACGTTTCACTTTGGGCATCACGATGGAAATAAACTGCTGCTCACACGGTAGCATCTCATGGTTATTTGGGGTGAGGAATGTATATCAATCTCTCCTTGTTTTGTTGGTGTCTTATGTTATCATGTTAGTTGTTTGTACCGCACGTTTATATATAGATTAGCTATTTTGGTGTAAACCCAATTACAATTAACATATTTATAATACTATGGAGAAGATTTGTTTTTGAAGGGCTTACATCCACTGCAACCTTGGTAACAACACTCCCCTCAATGAAACACAAGCACACTAGTGATGAAATAAATTCAAATCATATGGGCCGAATCATGTAAAGGAAACTAGGGGCAGAGTCAACAAGACAAATCCTTTCTCCGCACCACATACAAGAAAGTCCCTTCCACAACCCAATCACTGTTGATAATGGTCATATCTAATTAACATTTTTCCAATGGCTATTTAATATCAAAATAATATTCCAAAGTTGGTGGCACTTCCTTAAATTGACCTAAGGCTACAAAATGGAGGTCCACTAAAAATGGATCATGAATGTGCACTCATTGATATAAAATCTCATAAGATAGTTCAGAAAAGAATGGCCAATCCTATGATATTTGAGCTTGACTCAAAGAGTGTCTACAGTAACAACATTCAATCCATGTAGCATCCTAGTAATTCGTATTAAAAAAACCTCTTAGCTAGAAATTCATACTTCATCTCATAGAATTGCTATTGTATTCATCGAGTTTTTCCCATGTTCAGATCTAGAAATTCATACTTCATCTCATAGAACTGCTATGCTTTAATCCTTGTGAGAACTACTGATGGCTCTACCGCGGGGAGAGGGGCATTCACATACAGTAGCAGTGTATTTATCTAGGGCACTGGGGATGCTGAGTTTAGCTTGAACTTGTCTGCTTGTCACAGGGGAGTTCTCCAAGTTCCTCATAGGTGTTTTTGTCCCCCAGTAATCGGTATTCATTTTGGGTGTTGATGCTACTCAAAAGTGCCTTTGAGTTCATAAAAAATAGAAATTAGAAAGTGAGAATTTTAATTTCTAAAAGGTGAGATCTTAGCTTTCTAGAAGAAAAGGATTTAGCCTTCTAGAATGTGAGAACTTAGCTTCTTATAGCATTTTCCACAGACGGCGCCAATTGATGGTGCACAATCTGGCTACTCCTACTTGGATGGTGATCCGATGGCGAGTTGGATTAATCTACAAAATAGTAGATCAGAGAACCCGGGGTAGCTAACTCGACAAGGTTGCTCCAATACTTAAGTTAGTAATTATGCTATGAATGCAAACTGAATACTGGAGAGCTTGAGTGCTAGTGAGTAGAGTAATCAAGCGTACCTCTCTTTTTTCTCTTCCTTGGGTCTTTGTGGTTGGTGCCTTTATATAGGCATTGTTCAATGTGGGCTTCATGCACTGCATTCGAGATTTCTAGGAGGTCGTGCCCAACCAGTCTGAAATCCTTGGAGGTAAACATCATGCATATTGACCACCCTCTAGAATATTCGGTACGTGGGCTAACTTTCACGAATCATGGGAGTGTCGGGATATGCATGCTGAATTTTTCGACGAACACGTCTTGTAGGTCGCCACCTAGACCTCAGTTAGGCCAGCATGCCCTCGAGGAAGGTCGCTCCTTGCGTCAAGGTCACTTCGGCCAGTGACAAGGTGCTATTGGTCAGCCTTGGATGAAGTGCTTCTAACCGATCTAAGTTGTTATCAAGGTTGCCAAGTTGGCTATAAAGGCAGGTCGCTAGGTCTGGGCGAAGAGAAACCACGATCTGGGACTCTAAGTCATTGTTTAGGTGGTGTCTATGTGTCAAATAGTTGTTCCAAGATGCCATGTGTCATGATGTCATTGGAGGGCCCAATCCACCCTCATCAATTTCTATTCAAACCCATAAGGAAGCTGATACGGCAATTGTAGATTTGATTGTCTCTAATCAAATGGAGGAAATATTAGAAACATAGTAGCCAAAAAGCCTATCCTTGGAAATAAACAATGGTACTCAAAAAGAAACATTGGTGGTGCAAGACAATGTCTCAATTGCTCCGATTGAATGCACAAATCATACCACTACTAGTGTTGAAATAGGTATTTCATTTTTTTTTTGAGATTGAGAATGCCACTATTATGGGGGAGGATGGTGAAACTACTAAGGCCGATCTAGTTTATTGTCAAAGTCCAAAAGGTATTCGATGAAATGCCAATAGAGAATTAAAAAAGAAACAAGAAGATCAAAACATGAAAAAAAATGTTGCTCTTAGAGAAGGAAGTACTAGAAAAACTGAGGTCTCAATTGTTCTCAATGAGGATAATCTTGTTCGAAATCAAGAAACAGAAAGAAAAAAGGTATCAAAGTTGATAGATGGCCAAAATCTGAAACCTGTACAACCCATTGTGACAGTTTTTTGTTGGGATGATTTAATGATTGGTGTTGGAAAAAAGGTGCAAGAGAAATTTAGCAGTTCTCGACATTACAAAGTACATAGAACTTGAAGTGATACACACAACTAAGGAAAAATTTATTGATATCGAGTATTGTACCGAACAAATTGGATATGGAAATAGATACAGGTGTACTTTGGAAATGCATGGACATAGACAAAAAGAATGGAAACACTTGGATACACTAGTAAAACACATACAAATTTTATAAATACATTAATAACATTAAATTTAAGGTCAAATAGACCTAAATAATGTATAAATATATAAGAAATATATATTTAATGGTGTAAACAAAAAATATATTATAACTAATATTACGAAATGGGAATTTTGACCACTATAAAGCACAATTGGTGGCTCAAGGGTTTACAAAACAAGTTGAAATTAACTTTGTTGAAATATTTAGTCTAGTCATTAAACCTACACTATTTGGTTAGTACTCTCTCTTGCAGTTCACTATGGTTAGGCGCTTAGGCAACTCAATGTAAGCAATGATTTCTTACATAGTTACCTCAATGAAGAAGTTTTTATGAAATAACCCATGGGTCTTGTTGACCTGACAATACCACACTGTGTATGTTGGCTTAAGCATACACTTTATGGACTAAAGCAATCCTCAGGGGATTGGTTTACCTAGTTAGGGGATCATTTGGTTCTCTTGGATTTATTAAAACCTTAAGTGGATAGTTCTCTCTTTATTCGCTGCTGTGGTACTAATATCATTCTTCCTGTATATGTAGATAATATACTTGTCACTGGATCATCTACTTTGGCCATTACTGTTCTCATTTCCTAGATCTTTACCACTTTTTCTCTTCGAGATCTTGGAGTTATGCCCATTACTTCTTAGGAATAGAGCTCCATTGTACTACAGTTGGTGTGTATCTTTCACAACATAAATGTATTCATGATATCCTCTTTAAGACTAAGATAAACCTATTCATACATCCATGGCTACTTCTACCCGTATTGATGTTAGCCAAGGTTCACCTCTCTTGGATGTCATTAAATATCGTAGTGTGGTAAGGGCATTGCAGTACAATACTTTCACTCGACCAGACATTAATTTCTTTGTTAATAAAGTTTTCAAATTTATGAAGGAATCTATTGATGTTCATTCGAGTTCTGTTAAGTGGATCCTTCGGTTATCTAAAGTCAACCATTGATCATGGGCTTCTCTTCTGATCCACTCATGAATTGGATCTAGAGGCTTTTTTCTAATATTGATGGGATATTTGCCTAGTTGATTGGCACTCCCAAGGAAGCTATTGTCTTTATTTGGGATGTAATCTAATTTTATTGAGCTATTACAAGCGATCTATGGTTTCTCGCTCTAACACAGAATCTGAGTATTGTAGCCTTGCCTCCATTGCATCTGAACTTATCTAGTTCCAATGTTGCTACGAGAGCTTGGTTTAAAGCTTCCTCAACCTCCAATAATTTAGTGTGACAATTTGGTGGCCAAGATTCTATCATCCAATCCGGTGCACCATGCTCGAATTAAATACATCGAGTTGGATCTTCGTTATATACGAGAGAAGGTTGCAGGTAGGTGTCTCGTTGTTAATCATGTATCCAGTCACGAGCAGAATGTTGATGTCCTTAAAAAACCTCTTCCCACAACAAGATTTCAAGAGCTCAAAGCCAAGCTTACAGTCTCCAAGAGACTGCTAATCTTGAGGGGGGATGCATGTTAGAATATCCCAGTTACTCGCGTAATTGACTCATTCCATTTGGCAATATATGTACAAGCTTACCATTATCTTAGCTAATTAACTTAATCCCTTAGCTAACATTATCTTGTCATTGTAACTAGTTTTCTTTTTGAACTCTAACACTATACATAGCAATACCTCTGTAACCATCATCTATTTAAATACACGAGAAACTAGTCACGACTTAATTGAGTCATTCTCCTATTTCATTGATATTTTGTTTGTTTATAGAATGATCTCATCAAAAATTGGGAAAATCGGGGTTTCATACTAGTAGTTGAGTTAATAAAGCTCATTTTGGAAGGAGTATAAATACAAATATGTAGAGTGCAAAACCTTGTATTTTGTACTATACATATTTGTATTTCTACTCTTTTCAAACTGAGCCTAAGAGTTGATCTACTAACAAATAAGAGGGAGATTCTCTTCCAGCCTGATAGTTTATGTGTCACATATTCCATTAACCTTTCTTTAGTGACTTTACCATTAATGATAGGAGCAACCAAGTGGGACTCTGTATTGAACTCTAGAGGAATTTTAAAAATTTTTTACATAACTTTCCTCAATTTTCTTGGGATGTTTTTAGAGAAACTAACAAACAATTTGCAAAAATCAAGATTTTGTCTTGATGCTTTTAGGAACTTGGTGAAAATTTCTCTTATTTTTCGACAAACTATAATTGATGTTTCTGCAATACTTAAACATTAGTCTCCAAATTACAAATTTGGGATCATAGCCCATTCTTAGCAATTCTATACCCAATAGAACTTTTTTTTTTCTATCCATTGCTTCTTTTTCCAAGGGGA